GGACCAATTTTAAAAACAAAAACAAAAAACCTTTCCTTCAGACTTTCTCTCACAGGCTCTTCCCCAACCCCCAATTTGTGACTGCATAAATTATGCTCCTTCTCCAATCTTAATCCAAATCCTCTATATTTATCCCATTGAGACAGTCTATATTTTCTTGTAAAGTCCATTTTTAGTAACTTTTATGACATTTCTGTACTATTCCATTCTAAAATACATCCTTATCCCTTCTATGTTATTTCTAACTCTGGTTAAAAGCACTGAAATAAATGCCCTCAACTTCCTTCTTCATCTCTAAATTTTTTTTCTCCATTCTTTTTCTCCAGGACTAAACTTCCATGCGTATACTTGATGCTAATCCTGTTCCCTTAGCTGCAAAGACCTGATTTATGAGAATAGAAACCTTGTCTGTCTCATCTCCAGCTACTGGAATAATGACTGTATAGCATATGGTCTAAATTTTTAAAACATGTATTGAATGCTTTATTAATAAATGAATTATCCTCTCTCTCTGGTGCCTTTCCAGTTTTTCCCCTCTCCTTCTACATTGGGTTCTTCTGTAAATCTACAAATATGTTTAAGTCTTTTTCCAATGAAGAAAAAAAAAGACTAATATTTTCTCTTGACTCTCTTTTTAAGATATTTGCTATGTCTTTCCGTCTACCATCAAGCTTCTTTTAAGTTTTAAGCCACATCTTCATCGTTTAATCTTTTACCACATTTTTTGTTTTTGTTTTGAGACAGGGTCTTGCTGTCACCTAGGCTGGAGTGCATTGGTGTGAACATGGCTCACTGCAGCCTCGACCTCCTGGGCTCAAGGGATCCTCCTACCTCAGCCTCCTGAGTAGCTGGGACGACAGGTACACACCACCATTAATTTTTAAATGTTTTGTAGAGATGGGTTCTCTGTATGTTGCCCAGGCTGGTGTCAAACTCCTGGGCTGAAGCGATGCTCTATGCTTCAGCCTCCCTAAGTGTTGGGATTACAGGCATGAGCCACCACACCTGGCCCCACGTTAATGTTCAACACTTTGAAATGTGGTTTCCTCCTAAAACTGCCTTCTCAAAATTACAAGAGATCTCCTAGACCCTTTCTCACATTTTTATCTCCTCTGATGCTTTTTGCACATCACTTAAGACAAAAGAACACTCACTGCTTCTTAGAACTCTTCTCCCTCCTTGATTCCCAAAAAGATGTGCTCTTTTATTTCCTATAAATCATCACAGTCCTTACCATGCTATTAGTAGCTATTTATTTGTCACTGTTCTGTACTAGACTTAACAATTTCTTGAAGACAGGTGTCGTATCTTTTTTTTTTTTTTTTTTTTTTTTTTTTTTGAGATAAGGTCTCACTCCAATTGCCCAGGCAGGAGTGCAGTCGTGCCATCTCAACTCACTGCAGCCCCAACCTCCCTAGGCTCAGGTGATTCTCCCACCTCAGCTTCCCAAGTAGCTAAGACCACAGGCACATGCCACCATGCCCAGCTAATTTTTTGTATTTTTAGTAGAGACAGGTTGTTGCCCAGGCTGGTCTTAAACTCCTGAACTCAAGTAATCCACCTGCCTCAGCCTTCCAAGGTGCTGGGATTACAAGTGTGAGCCACCACACCCAGCCAGGTGTCATATCTTAATCAGTGTATTCCCACTATATAGCACTGTGATTGCTCAATAAATATTTGTTGAATACATGAATGAATATTGCCATCAGATCAATGCCTAAAAGAGTTCTAGGAATACTGGAGAATGGGAGTGTTGGTTAAAATAACGATGACAGTTGACATTCTAAGGGAAAAGGGCAAGTAAAAGCAGTATGAGGGGCAATGACTATCAGAAAGCAGCATAATTCATGTATTCACGCATTCATTCATCTGACATTTACTATGGGCAAGGCAAATAAGACAATCAAGATGTCGTACCTGTCCTCACAGATCTGTCTTATAATCAAAAGCTGAAGGTTTGGGGTGGAGTGTTAAGAACTGGTAGAAAACAGAAGTAAGATACCACGTCACTAAAGAGTAATTCTAAATCTAATGTTAAAATATAAGGACAGTTTGGAAGACCACAGCCAGCTGCTTCTGGTCTACTCACACCTTTGTGATCTAGGTCTATTAGTAGCAGTTCTCAAACTTCAGTATGCATAAGGAGCACCTGGGGATCTTGTTAAAGATGAAGTCCTGACTGTGGATCCCAGAAGTCCTGATTCTGTAGATCCATGAATCTATGTTTTAATAAGCATCACAAGTGATTATGATGCTTTTGGTCTGCAGAGCATGCTACTGTAAAGTCCTCAGTCATTCATGTTTTAATTTTGCCATATCTGGGTTCTACCTATAATATTACTTTCTTAATAATTCATTTAATTGCTGTATGTGTGTATTTATACACATATGTATCTTAGCCTTATCCTAAGCAAGGTATTTGGTGACATTTTTGTTTTAATACATGTAAAATAAATACACAACCATTAAAAAGGTCTGCCTCTATTACATCAGCATATGGGAAAGTTTGAAAAGCACTGCTCCAGAGTTTATGCCCTGCAAACATCACATCCTGCATGCAGTCTGATGATATAAATTATATTAAATAACAAAAAGTTCCAGGGCAATGAAGTTCAGCAGAATTGTGCTTCGGAAGAGCTCATTATAAAATAATCCAAAAATATTTTTAAAATGAATGTTCTAATGATTACAAAATGACATTAAGGAAATCCTCCCCATAACATCAAAATATTGACTTTTTATTTTAAAAAGTGTTTTGTCTTTTATTCTGGTACTTAACTCTCAGAATATTCTTGAGCCGACACCGGAGCCAATCCCAATAGCTAAGCCATAGAACTTAACAGCAGTTGGAACAAAATGAAGATGTATCGGTGTTCTTGCCCCACAATAAAACACTCATCCATTTTATTTAGAACTACATTTGATTAGGACTGATAATTCAGTTCAAAGGTATAAACTTGATACCTCTTTCTTTTCCTTTAACCCCAAAACAATTTATAATAGGAGGCAAAATTATACAGCAAAAATATTAGGGGAATAATTGCATCTCAGGAAGGTCTATTCCTTAAAGGCTTTGGCAACTCACAGCCACAAACAGAAAAGACAAAATATTTCACCAAATTAAAGGTTGTGCTGATATTAAGCCTTTAAAAACAATACTCTTCTCTAAATTGTTTTCTCTTAAATGGCTAAGAAAATCATTTTCTACCAAAATACTCTTGAGTGGATGTCTTTTGGATTGTGTGTCACAAGCCAGTTCTATATTTGTTTAATTTCTGGTCACACTGAACAAAAACAAAAATGAACGACTGTGGTCCTTCATCTCTACATCACTTAAGTCAGCCGGAAATTTACCTTATTACTTACTGATTTATAAAGCACTTTACCCTGTTTACCCTGTTTGGATGACTACTGCAATCGCCTCTCTACTAGTCTCCCCTGCTTCAGCCTTTTCTCTACAGTCTGTTCTCCGCACAGCAGCTTACGATGCCCTGTTTAAAATGTCAGCTTACTCACTCTTAACGCTCAAAACTCTGCAGACCTTTTCTCAGAGTAAAAGCCAGTCTTTTAAATGGCACACCAGGCCCTCTAATACACAATCATCCTACAGCCCACAGCATTAAGACTACTGAACGACTGTAATTTTACAATTAAAATGCTGTAATTTAAAAATGGACAAAATGTACTCTTAATGGTATCTATCATCTTTGCTCACTTTTCAAGAATCAAATAATTCTTGATCCTACCCCTCAGCCCCTGTCACAGGACTCTTTCCTTACTCACTTTGCTGCAGTTACAATAGCTTCTTTGCTGTTGATTGCATATACTGGGCATATTCCAGACACAGGCTTTGCATTTGCTGTTGCTTTTCTGAGAGTGCTCTTCCCACGTGAATCCATATGGCCCTGCTCTATCATTTCCTTTAGGTCTTTGCTCAAACATCATCTTCCAGGTGTGCCCTTTCATGATCACCTTACGGACAATCCATACTTCCCACCCCCACACATTTCCTCTCCTCTTTTCCTCTTTTGTAGTCCACCATATCACCTACGATTTGGCATTCTGTATCTACTGTTTATCATTTGTTTACCCCACAAGAGGGTGAACTCCTTCTGGATGAAGATCGTCTATCTGCTTTGTTCACTGCTGTATCCCAGGAACAAGAACAGGTCTAGCACATAGTAGATGTTCAATAAATATTTGCTTAATGAACAATATTACTCCAACTCTAGAACTTTCAGTCTCAACCCTATTAAGAGCTAAAAGGCATCCCCCAATTTCCGGGTGGCATTTGACTTTCGTGAACTTATATGCAGTATCTTTTGTTTGACACACGGTTCCCTCTGATTTTTCTTAGATAGTAGTAAGACGACAGGAAAATTCCTAAACAGTGTGCAAGAAAGATGAAAATTAATCATGCATAACACTGATTTTAGATAATTTCTTATCCATAAACCAATAGAGAAAATGCCTTCTGAATTTGTAGCTTCTCCTCTTAAACCTAAGGAAAATAAACTGAGTATCTGTTGCCTTTGCCGCGGGGGGAGTAGGAAGGGGGCCAGGAGAGACGTGAAAGCCCAGGAGCCCTTCTTCAAGAGCGTCAACTCTTGTGCACTCCAACTTACTTTTTTGAGGGGGTGGGCATCGTTCGAGGTCTCTGCCAGGGGGTGTCTGTTTTTCACCCTTTGAGGTGCCTATTGTGCTGTGTCTTGAGAACGAGGAGAGGTGGGCGAGGAGGGGGTAAGAAGGGATGCTGCGTGCGGCTCCAGCTGCCTCCGAACACAAAGTCGGGAGGCGAGGGATCCGCGCGGGTGTCTCGGGGGCCAGCGGGCGCCCGGGCCGCGCGCTCGGATCGCAGCCTCGGCCCCGGGGCGCGGGCGGGACGCGGGCTGCGCGGAGTTAGGCCCGGACAGAGCCCCATGGCCTCCCGGCGGCCGGGCACGGGGCCCCGCGCACCTCACTCACCCCGGTTCCCCCAATCCGGCACCCTTCTCGGTTACCTCGAACTCTCTTCAGCGAAATGGGATCCTTCTCCTGTTCTGCTGACATTACAGACCGCAAAGCATGACTCCCCCCCAGGCCGCGGGAATTCGGTCTCTTTGATGCTGCGGCGGCGGCTCCTCCTCCTCGCGGGGCCGCTGCGGCTGCGAGGCGAGCCTCGGAGCCGAGGCACGGCCGAGGGCGGTGGGGACGCGGGCCGACTTTGCAAAGTTTGGGAGGAGGACGAGGCCTCGGGGCGGCGGGGCGGCGTGCGGGCACCGGCGGGGCTCAGCGGCGGTGGCCGGGAGCGCGGCCTGGGGGCGGCCCCCCACCCGGGGCCGACATGTGCTGAGGGCGAGTGCGCCGCCGCCGCCGCCTCCTCCCACTCCTTCTTCTTCGCCGCCGCCGCCGCCGCCGCCTCAGGAGCCGCTGACAGGGGAGGCAAGAGGCTGGCGGCCCGGCCCTGGCGGCACACTCACAGCGCCCTCTGAGGAGGAGGTCTGCTCTCTCGCCGCTCCCGAGTCGCAGACACAAAAGCCCCCAGACTGGAGCCGCCTGCAAAACCCGCTCTGGGGCGGGCGAGGGACGTGGCGCGGCCCCGCGGCTTCCCCGCCCTGAGCTCCCCAGCCCCGCGCGGGGACGGGCTTCGGGGGGCGGGGGCCGCTGCCTCGTCCCGCTGCGCCTCCCGCCACCGCCGCCGCCTCGCGCTCCGCCTCGGCCCAGCCCCCACGGCCCGCGCGCGCCTCTTGCTCCGCGCCGGGGCTCGCGGGCCCGCGGCTCTTGCAGCCCGGGCGGGCAGCGCGCGCCTAGGGGCCGCCCCGCCCCGCGCCCGGCGCTCCCTCGCAGCCCGCCAGGCCCGAGGACGCCAGATCCCGCGGCCGACGCGACCGGGCCCAGCTTTCGCAAGGAAAGGGCATCTCCGAACTTCGTCGGAGGCCACATAGCCGGCATCTCGGCCTCGCAGCCAGGGATCGCAAAGATGAACGTACCATGCGAGGAAACTTTGTAAGCCGGAGCTGGAGAGTTCTCGGCGGGCATGTGGGGATCCAGATTCCCCGACTCCGTGTCCGCGTGGCCGTGGTGTGGACACCTGTTTGTGGAATGCCTCCACTTGGTATTTTAACGACTTGACTCTTCAAGAAAAAGCGACGTAGAATGAATATCAGGACAGTGTGTGTGTTGGGGGGAGGGTGTTGAAGCAGTGACGCGGCTGAATCTCATTTAGACGTTAAATTTTAGGAGGAACACCCCCGGTGTGATTGTAAATTACATGTGATCACCCGTCCACATTCTTCAGTTGGGCTGTGTGACCGGAGGCGACTTGGGTAACCTCTCTGGGTCTCAGTTTTCTGGTCTATGAAAGGCAGTGGGGCTACATCTCGAAGATTTCTTCTAGCTCTGACATTGTTTAACGTACTTCTACGAAATTGTTTTCCCTGTTTTTTTTGGTTTTTTTGCTAGGTTTTCTGGTTATCCACTGGGCTTATTTTGATGTAAGAATCACCGAAAAGCACTCATGAAGCGTGGGAGGACATAGAAATAGCTACAGACTGGAGTCTCGTCCTTCCAGAGACAGACACCCAACTCATTCAGCTGCACAGTGTCCCAGAGAACAGATGTAAACATGAAGCCAATGTACAGCCTCAACAGCTGCATACCAGACAAGCGCCACATAGTGTGGTCCGGGCCAGATGTAACCCTTTATCTAATCAGGGTGGTCTGGAATGATGGAATTCCTGATTAGAAGAGTCAGACTAGGACAGGCTAGGGAAAATATTCTTACAGGAAGCACTTGAGGAGAAAGTTCCTGCTAACTAGAATGTAACCTCCATGCAGGCAGGAGTTTTGACTGGTTCGCTGCTGTATCCTCTGGGTACCTAATAATGACTAACACATAGTAAGTGTTCGAGAAAATATTTACTGGTGTATGAATAAACAGACCAAGTGACCCTGGAACGACTGGGATGGCAGGGCTTTGGTAAGAGTAATAAACCCGAAGCAAAGGGTAATATAATAGATTGGGGGCCGGGTGCGGTGGCTCACGCCTGTAATCCCAGCACTTTGGGAGGCAAAGGCGGGGCGGATCACGAGGTCAGGAGATCCAGACCATGCTGGCTAACATAGCTAAAAAGACAAAAATTTAGTTAGGCGGATGTGGTGGCGGGCGCCTATAGTCCCAGCTACTCGGGGGGCTGAGGCAGGAGAATGGCGTGAACCCGGGAGGCGGAGCTTGCAGTGAGCCGAGATGGTGCCACTGCACTTCCAGCCTGGGAGACAGAGCAAGACTCCGTCTCAAAAAAATAAGTAAATAAACATAAACATAAAAAAGCAGATTGGATCTGATAGTCTACCTTATAGGGTTGTTGGAGGAAAATTTGAAAGCACTTAGGTAAGTCAACAAAGACATGAAGGCCAGGCGTGGTGGCTCAGGCCTGTAAATCCCAACACTTTGGGAGGTTGAGGCAGGAGGATGACTTTAGCCCGGGAATTTGAGACGAGCCTGGGCAACAAAGCTAGACCCTTCTCTACAAAATAATTTTTAAAAAGTAGCCAGGCATGGTGGCATGGGCCTGTAGTCCCAACTACTCAGGAAGCTGAGGCAAGACGATCCCTTAAGCCCAGGAGTTAAAGGTTGCAGTGAGCCATGATTACACCACTACACTTCATCCTGGGAAACAGAGCAAGCAAGACCCTGTCCCCACTCCAAAAAAATATGGAAATGACATGTTTTCATTTAGCGCAAGGAGAATGGTTCAGAAAAATCATGGCTAAGAGATTTTGAGTTCTTTATTGTAATTCCCTAAAGCTAGAGACTCAGAAATAGTATGAAAATCAAGAGAAATGAATTGGCTTCTTTTTCATGATTCATCAAGAATAAAAAGACTATCTTACTTGGGCATAGTCTTTTAGATCGACTTTACTTCCAAATCTTGATGGCTTGATGAGGGCCTTATACATTGAAGTGGGGTAGTGGAGAGGAAGCATAAGGAATGGTGGTAAAAACTGACAACATGGTAATTGTTTAGATGTGGAAGGTGAAAGACAAATCAGAAATTTGCTCCCAGACTTGTTTTAGGTGACATAGAATACAGGGAGACATTTGATGGTGGTAATAGTTGGTGAAGCGGGGTGATGACGGGCTTAGTTTTGGACACCTGAGTCTGCTATGTCTGTACTAAAAATACAAAAATTTAGCCAGGCATGGTGGTGGGTGCCTATAGTCCCAGCTGCTCGGGAGGCTGAGGCAGGAGAATGATGTGAACCCGGGAGGCAGAGTTTGCAGTGAGCCGAGATCGCACCACTGCACTCCAGCCTGGGTGACAGAGTGAGACTCTGTCTCAAAAAAAAAAAAATAAAATAAAATAAAACAGGCAGTGAACTGGATTTGGCCCACAGGTGATAGTTTGCTGACCCCTGGGCTAGAACGTAGACTATATAAAGGACTCTGGAGGTCAGATGACAGGCCTAGGCTGCAAACACATATGAAGGAGACATTAGCTAACAATGGATAAACTCATCCAGGACCAAAGAAAACTAAGAGCCAAGAACAGATGCAAGGAAATGATGACAGTTTAAAAGGTCGACAAAGATAGAGGAGCCTGTAAAGGAAATCATGAAAGAATGAAAAAGAAAACAGGAGTGTTAGGGCAATCAAGAAAAGGAAGCAATGATTGACCGTGTCACATGCTATGGAAAGAAGTACTCATGTCTATCATCAGTCATCCTTGGCCTGACATCTACTGAACTTTTTGGTTTTCTTATATTTTAAAGTATTGATTTGATAGTCTGCTTTTAATATTTTTCATCTCAAATTTTGTGTGTTTTTATTGTGGATGGTTTCATGGTGGAGTGTTTAAGCACTCAACCTCTAATCTAAGTTGGTTCGATTGACATGTACACTTTTTTCCAAAAAAAAAAATTCTGTAAGTTCTATTTTAAAATATTTGAAATCACAGATTTGTGTTACATTGAATAGGCATAAAAATCAAATCCAATCTAGATGTTTGGAAGTTTTGCAAATTGGTTTGAATCCTTTCATGTTATGATTGAAATTGCAGCCAGTTTAGCAACCTCTAGCCATCGGGCAATCATATCCAGGAGCCTTTTGTTGACAAATATAGTGCTATCAAAAGCTCAAAGTTGAGGGCAATAACAACAGCAAACTTTGGACGATGGTTTGTATGAATCGGGATTCAATCAGGACACAGGGGGCACACCGTTTGAATGGAGTTAATAAAGCATTATTAACTATAGCAAGGGATTGAAGTAGTAAGGGATTAGTATGAAGTGAAGTAAGGGATAGTATGAAGTGAAGAGAATGCTAAAGTATCTGAGAAAAACAGATGTGAGGAGCAGCCACTATCCTTAAAACTAAGATAAAGCATCTAAAGAAGAGGTCTCCTTCCTCTCCAGGCCAAGAGAGTGCACAGCTGCGGCTCACTGGATGCCAGAGAAGTTGCTGTGGTGCTACCTTCTGAGGGGAGTGCCAAAGGAAGACGCCCTGGGTGTTGCCAGCATTGCAGAGCCGGCACTGATGTTGCCAGCACTGCAGGACCTGGAAGGAGGCTATGCATGCTGCAGAAACCCATTCAGAGGAACAATTGAAACAGGAAGGAAAGCAAAAGCCCCTTACTCTTATATGTCTTATAATGTCTTATAATACTCTTATAATGTCCCTCCAGCACCCTCTACTGACAAAGTTTAACATCATGCCAGCTGGCAAAGGCAAAATATTAATATTTAGAGTCCAGCTCCATTTTTGCAGAGCAGGCAGTGAAGGATACATTTGGAGTTGAGAGGCAATAAATTTATTATTGACACAATGATGGTGTGTACTTTAGCCTAGCAAAGCTCTGTAAGGGACCTCATATCAATAAGCACCTTTGGTTCTGGAATATACTATGTCATAAAATGGTGACTCCCAAATATTTGCTGTCATGCCCTAAATGCATGTTTATTTTCTATATTATGAAATATGGGACAAAGTTTTACTTCAAATTACTTTTGATCTTATTCTCTTTAGCCTTTCTTTTTTTGAGACAGAGTTTCACTCTTGTTGCCCAGGCTGGAGTGCAATGGCATGATCTTGGCTCACTGCAACCTCTGCTTCCCAGGTTCAAGTGATTCTCCTGCCTCAGCATCCCGAGTAGCTGGGATTACGGGTGCCCGCCACCACATCCAGCTAATTTTTGTGTTTTTAGTAGAGATGGGATTTCACCATATTGGCCAGGCTGGTCTTGAATTCCTGACCTCATGTGATCCAACTGCCTTGGCCTGCTGGGATTACAGGCTTGAGCCACCACACCTTGCCCTCTTTAGCCTTTTATATCCCATCCGTCATCAGATTCCACAAATTTTACCACCTACATATTCTCAGATGTGTCCTTTCTTCTCTATCCCCACTACCACCATCCAAGTCTAGCCAAAAATCATTTGTTGATTTTCTGGACTTATGCAATAATCACCCAAGTTTTCTCCACATTTCTTGTCCTCTATTCAATTCATTTTCCACTTAGTAGCCAGACTGCTGTGTTTTTATTTTTTAACTTTTTATTTTGAAATAATTATGGCTTCAAAGGAGGTTATAAAGAAATGTACAGGTAAGTCCTGTACATCCTTCCCCCAGCTTACCCCCAATTTTTTTTCTTTTCTTTTTCTTTTTTTTCTGGAGATGGAGTCTTGCTCTGTTGCCCAGGCTGGAGTGCAGTGGCACGATCTTGGCTCACTGCAA